TCAACCAGAGAGCAAAACACCAATAAAATTCCCAAGGATCGTATGCCCAGATGTACAATTGGAATCCCTGGCTCACTTCTTCACCAACAAGTCTGGCTGGCCCCTCAATGACCTGTACAGCCTTACTTGTCACTGGGTCCTGCCTAGTCAAAAGGGTGATAGGGAGAATTCAAGCTAGACTAAACCAGGTACAATTTCTGGTGCTGGCAGAAAATCCTGGGTATCAACCTCTGTAGATAAATTTAAGGACACCTCACCAGCTTAATAAGAGGAGAGTGTCCTTGAGTGAGGAATGATATGGGAAAGAAAACTAAACCAAGTCCATTTTGTGTTCTAGTACCATTTTAAAGCTTAAGTTTCTGTTTCCTTAAGTTGGTTTCTTGTAATTGTTGTCATAGTTACCTTACCTGATACCACCCCATGCTGTCATAAGACTGTTTGTGCCCTATGTAAAATGTCAAACATTTTTGTTCCTTTGTTACAGCTAAGCCCATGCTTTGTAGTCTTTCTGTGGCTGCATTAAAGCATATCAGCACATCTGCCTTAGACCTAGAACTAGAACCGGAACTAGAATTGTATGTCTGTTCTCTCCTCTTGTCCTTTGGGGTTGGTGCTCAGTCATGTACTGGGTGCCCACCACTGGCCCCCAATAAACTTGCTAATCTCTGCAGGCCTCCGCAAGTGACTCAATTAAACATGCACCTTTGCTGCAACAAACCAAGAGTGAAAGTAAATAGAACATTTAAGTGATTGCTATTTTGGTAATAATCATACTGTTATCATAATAATATCCACTATGGTGGTGACTGAAGGTGAGGTTAGAACTAGTGATGATATAGATGAGTGTAAATTTTAAATGTTTTTCAGCCTCAAAATTTTGGCACCTATTTTGAACTATGACTTTTAGCCTGCTAAAATTAGCTTATATATCCTGCTAACACATACAATTTCAAAATCTGTAAAATGTTCAACTACAATTTAAATGAGTTAAGATAATATAATACATATTTTAATATGGATATGACAACACTAGTAAAGCAAATCTTCCATAAAATAACCAAATAACTTCTATAAAGTGCTGCACTTTCCTTGAGAGCAAGTAGGTTAGGGTGACAGTTAGTCATATGGACAAGTCTTGGTGAGGTGAAAGGTGAATTTTTAGTGTGAAGGCAAGGGAGAAATCAAATGTAGGTGGGTGACAGAGTGGTGGTGAAAAATTATTCAGCATTGCAAACACAGGATGAAGAGAGTTCAGGGCAGGGGAAAGATGATGGGTTCAGCATTGGCATGTGGAATTTAAGATGCTCTAGAAGTATTTCACCTGGATGATTAGTAACTAAAGACTTCAAATGACTGAATAGAAACCTGAGGCTCAGAAGAGAGGACTTTACTTGAGATATGGGTTTGAGGTCATCATTCTACAAATGGAAAGCAAATCCATGAGGCAGATGAAACTCCCTCAAAATAGTAGGTGGAATTAGAAGAGAATAGCACATAGGCAGGTGCTTGAGGACCACACAAATGGAGAAGGGCCTGCAGGAGGTGTTTTGAAAAGTCTGTCTAAAGGAAAAGAAAATGGAGAAAGATGACACTTAGGTGCCAAAGAAAGCAAGGAAAGAGGGCTTGTGGGAGGGAGGAACTGTTCCGCTGTGTCAGATACTACTCAGAGATTCAGGAAGACAACAGGAAGATGTTTTACTGATCTAGTGATCAGAGGTCTTTGTCAGCTGCAGGAGGCCTATCGGTGGGCTAGTGAGTGAGCCTTACGATGGTGTGAGCCATTAGCATCTCTCTGAGGGTTGGTTTCCATGTCTGCAAAACATAGCTGTTGACTTTGCCTTTCTACTTCCTAAAGTGTATGAAATGTCCACAGTTTAATGTATGGCAGAACATGATTAATTTATGGGAGAATTCATAGTTTTCATTTTTGTGCATCCTGCTGCTTCCATTTGAGATGTCCTACTCAACTCAGCTCTCTCTACATGCTCTAAAACTGCTCAAAAATATACAATTCCATGAGAGTGGGAAGCAGAAAATCTCAGGGTAGTAACTGTGGTCAGAGATGTATTCATTCCACTCCTCATCAGCTATCTAGACCTCATTCTCTTGGCCCCCAAACTACATGCTTTTATACTGCTTAGAAGAGTGAGTCACTAAGCAACTTACCAGGTGATTCTGAAGTCAGATGCAACTAAGTTTGTATGCTGCCTCAGCCAAGTTATTAGGTACAATATTTGGAACAAGTTATTTTAGCTCTCTTAGCCTCAGTTTTCTTATCTGCTAAGGAGGGGGTGGGTAATACTTACCTTAAAGGCTTTCCTTGGCACATAAAACAGGTTAAGATGATAGTTTAAAAATTTGGGGGTGGGCTTGGGATTTAGTTCAGCAGTACAGTGCCTGCCTGGCAAGTGCGAGGTCATGAGTTCAATTCCTGGTACCGGAAAAGAAAAACAGCAACAAAAAAATTTTGGACAGCTTTGACTGGTGGGATATTGCTCAGTTGCTTTGGCTTGAAGTGTTTCCTTCTCATTCCCAAACACTCTCTGTAGCTGTTGTTTTTGGCCTCGGGCAATGAGTACAATCCATTTTTCATAACAGCTCTTGAAGTTGTTAAATATTTTCTTTTCAGTGATAAGCATTTCTATTTCTTCAAACTTGTTGAGGTGCATTTACAGCATTGTTGCTATTTTTTTTTAAAAAAAAAACTATGGTGTTTTTATGGCAGATGTGCTGCTATGCTTTAGTGCAGCTACAGAATGACTGCAAAACATGGGCTTAGCTGTGACAAAGGAACAAAGGTGTTTGATATTTTACATAGGCATCCCTATTTATCTGGAATTGAGAAAATGGGATTTGATCTGATAGTTGAAGAACTGTTAAGCTTTGTGGGTTATGTCAGAGATGGTGAAGCGTTGAGCTTAGCTGTTGTAAGACTGTAGGCTTGGAATTGGTTGAAATTTTGCTAGGCAGAAAGGTTTCCATGGCCTTTAAAGATCAGAATTCTATTCAGATGACAATGCAAATTGCTCTGTATTTTTTTAGTGGATGTGAGGATGATCTGACAGATTCTTGGGCACATCATTATGAAAGTAGTATGTCCAGTGGACCTAAGGAAAAGAGATGAAAAACAGCACTGGTCTCTGTGTGTAAAAGCAAAAAACTAATAATGGCAAGACTTGGAAGAAAGGGGAGTGTTTGAGAATTGAGTTAGGAACTACCAGTCTTTATCCTATTTCCTAGAATGTTAAATATACACGTATTTATCCATTTTAAAAGCTAAATATTTCTTGATATCTTTTTACACTATATATGATTACCAGGGAATAAAAAAATAAAAGTAAAGCACTGGGGAAGTTCATAGTTCTGAACAGTGTGATCAATAAAAACTTCTTGGAACAGGAGCCATTTGTATCTAATTTATGTTATGGTTGATACATTGTATCAATTTGCAAAGTCTAGAGGCTTAACAAGGTACTCAGCAGTTCTACATCCTAGGGTGTGGAGGACATGGTTTTACCAGTGTACGATGCTATTCTTTGTGTCAAGTGAGAAGTTTAGAAGTTTAACTGAGTGACTCAGCAGAGGCCCAGGGTCTTCACTTCATAAACATTCTGAGCCTGTGCATGAGGAGGGCATGGAGATTATGTGAGTGCTACGCTCATCCCAGGGAGGGTGACCTGCTTACAATTCGTGCCCTTTTTGCTCTTTTTGCTTTTGCTGTCTTCTGCCGCCATGAACTCTTGCCCCTCTGCCGTGCCATCTTGCCCTGAAGCCAGCTGGTTATGGAATGAAACCTCCACAAACTGTGAACTAAATAAACCTTTCCTTACTTAATTTTGGGCATTGGGTATTTTGTCTCAACAATGAGAGAAAATTAACTAAGACAATTTGTAAGGATAGAGAGAATAGGGCACTCCAGGTGAAAAGAGCAATGCAAGAAAAGGAAGGTGGAAAGACTGGGTTATAGTTAAGGGAAAATTGTTTAGTTTAAAGTGTACTGTCCAATACTGCAGTCACTACCACAAGTGGACATTTACAGAAAATTGCTTAAATTACATTAAATATTAAATTCCTCCACCACACTGGTCATATTTCACAAGTTCGGTAGGCACATCAAGCTAGTGGCTGGTATACTGGACATGGTGGGTACAGAACATTTCTGTCACCATGAGGTGTTCAACCAGAAGTGTTGGGCTGCAGAATGTGATAAGTGCAGAATGTGATAAGAAATAAGAAGACATATATCCCATTTTGTATTTGAATTTTATTGTCTTGGTGTGTCAAGTAGGATTTTTTGGGCTACAAGATCTAGAAAGTCCATACCAAACTGACTAAAATAGCACATCAAGTCTATTGGCTCACACATCTAAAAAGCCCAGAAATAAGCTGGGCTTCAGAAATAACTCTTTCAGGACTTTATTGTAGTTTACTTTTGAGTTTCTCTTGCCTTTTCCATGTAATGGCACAGGTTCTAAGTCTCCAGTTCATCAGTGTCACAATCTAGAAGAAGACAGCTTCTTTTTGATCATAAAAATTGAAAACAATCCTACTCTTTCGTGGACTTGCCCCAGTTATGTGCCTGCTCATTCCTGTACTAATTTACTGTAGCCAAGGGAATGTCATGTGCTGACTGATACCTCACACAATCAGGGTACCATGAGATATAATGCAGATAGGCTTAAACTGGTGGGGCCAATCTGAGTGGTGGATAAAGTCAGTCCTACCCATGAACTGTCCGGCCACCAACTACTCTAAATGGGATTGAATGGGTTTTGCATTCCCATTCCCAAAGCAGACAGAATCAAAATTTGCTATATTGTTTTCATGTATTAAAATAACAAATCCTTACCTTTTCTGCATTGACTAGGTTTGAAAAACATTTTTATAATGTGAATGAAGCAGAAAACAGTCATAAAGATGAAAGAAAACCTGAATTATGTTTTCTTTTTAAGAATGTTATAGCTTTATGTTTCGCACCTATGGACTGGTGCAATCCAGTGTAAGCTGATAGTGACCCCGGGTAAGGAACAATAATCATTCTCTCTGTAGATGACTCCATGCTCAAAACATGGAAACAGTCAAGAGGTAGATGGAGGATGATGCTGTGGAGTCTTCTTGCCTTGGATTTGACAAAATCTTTACTGTTTTTCTCTTCTATTCCACAGTTAAGCACAGCTTAAATGTGCCTTTTGACAAGATTGTCAACATTGCTCGACAGATGCAACACCAGTCTTTAGCCAGAAAACTTTCCAGAATCATTAAAGAGATCCTCGGGACTGCCTCGTCTCTGGGCTTCAGTGTTGCTGGTCATTACCCTCATGACATCTTGCATGACAGCAGTGGTGCGGTGGAATGCCCAGCTACCTAAGAAGCATAAGAAAATATTTAAATAAAGAGATTTTTTTAAAAGTTACAGCTTTCTTTAAGCATGATTTGACAAAAAAGGAATGAGTTCAGGTTTCATGGAGCAATGTATGAGGAATTTAACACATGGTACATGTATTGCCGGACAGAATATTAACTATCGTGAACTGTGTGGCCGAACAAAACTTTTATTATTTTGCTGTTATTTTTAGAACTGTTCCTGTGATAAAAGAAACATACACATAAACTTAAAACTTTGTTTAAGACTCTCCCCAAATAAACCAACAGGCAGGTAAAAGCCTTCAAACTAAAGATCTTTTTCTCTTTTGTGAGCTTTTAGAATTGTTAAACACTTTCCTATTTTGTAATATTTTGAAGAATATCTACTACACTGAGCTCCTTGATTGTGGTTTCCTATAAAAGTGATCAAGTTTTCATTCAAAAAGAGAACTGTTACTTTTCACACTGGAGCAACAGTTATCCTAGTTGTTGTGAAAGTGACTTTAACACATTATGAGGGAGATGGACTATATAAGCCTATGTAAAGTAAGTTATGTTTTAATTGATTCCCACTCACAACTAAGAAAAAACTTAAAATGCCAAAGAAATACCTATGGAACTTGACAGCAGAATCAATGAAAAATTTTCTCCACGTATACTATTCTTCATCAACATGTTAACAAAGCTTTTTTGCATGAAAACAATATGAACACATAACATACACTTCCTAAAAATGTTACATATTACTCTCTATAGAAATATGACAAAATCAACAGCATTAGGGAGTCAAGTTGTGGAAGAATTATTATATCTTTCTCTCTCTTATTCTTATCATGTCTTTTTTCTTTCTCCCCTCATAGGCTCTCTTCTTTTTCTTCCATGCTCACTCACCTCTATTACTGTCATATTATTCATCCTTAAATTCTACCCTTGAATATGAGAGAACTGTTCCCATCTCCCTTCCTGTAATAGTTTGGGGATTTTGCAAAGGCAACAATATAATACAGGACACATATTTTGTATGATTATTTATAATAATCACCCAAAGAATTATATACAAAAAGGAGAGTGCAGGAAATCTGTCTACACACTTAATAGCAGAGGATCCAGCTGACAGCCTAGATCCCACACCAGTGTCCTGCATGAGTTCAGCTCAAAACCTAGAGCCCGTAACCACACCTCCCATGAGTCAAACTGGAGGCCTAAAGCCCATGACAATGTCTCATGCAGGCCTGTTTCACGGATCTGCACTGGGAAGGCCCAAAACTCAGTGGTGGAATCTAAAAAGTCTGTGCCAGTGAGATGAAGGACCTGTGCTAGCAGGCTGAGGGATCTGGACTGGAGGCAGGAAGTGTTGCTCAAAATATGAACCAGATCTCCCCTGAAAAGTACCACAGTCATCCTCAGCAACAGTGAGGTCCTGAGCTCCTCCGATGATCAGGACAAGCAAGTTCCCATCAGGAAAGCCAGCACAACAATCTTCTCCAGGAGACTGAGCAGTGCACCATCTTCCCCTCCAGAGCCAGGAAGAGAAGCTCAAAGTGAGGACCAGAGCTCCTCCAAAGTGAACCAAAGCCATTCTCAGTATCAACAAAGTCCCAAGCTCCTCAGACAATGAAAACAGCTGAGTTTGTCAGGAAAGCCAGCATGATAATGTCCTCCAAGAGAACTAACAGCTCCTTACAGCTTCTACCAGCTTCCAACAGCCTCCCTTCTTCTCCAGTTCTGCCTCTTATGTTGCTGGCGACAACCCGCATGTGGGCCTCCCACACCCAACACCATGCTGGTTTAGCTCAGCTGGGAGTTACAAGTTGACCAGTAGCTGTCAATCCATCACACCTCCCAAAGCTGAGCTTACTTCACCTTGTCCCCACTACCCTCCTCGTCTTCAGTCTCTGTAGATCAGCTCGTGTTTCACACTATTTTTGTTATCTTAATCTCCAACCTCATCCTTTTCTTCAGAGCTCAGTATACGCATTACCAAGTCCCTCTAATTGTGTTTGCTCTAGAAGTAAAAAGACTTTCTTTATGGAGTTATGTGAGCTTTTAGAATCATTAAACAAACACTTTTGTATGTTTTAATATTTTAAAGAATATACACTACACTGAGACCTTTGATTGTGATTTCCATTCAGATTGAAATAGTTAGAATTTGAGCATTTCTTTGCCTGGAATTCCAAGCCTTGGGCCAATTTGATCTACTAGTTCTCTCTGGTCTTCTCTTCTACTCCTACTCATCACCTTTCTTTTTCCTCTTTCTTGTACTAACTCCAATTCCAAAATTTAGAAATACAAGCAAAGCAAGGCAAGTTTTTGACTCACCCCAAGAGAATGAGGTACACAAGAAGGAGTAGAACATTTAACTGAGTACAAAGAAATGAGATGCCGACCCTCCTTTTCTCCTTGTCCATACATGACGTAGTTCCTTTCCATTTAACGGCTGCTTAGATACTTGAATGATTGTTTTTAAAAGTATGATTGATTGGATCAGAATCATACGTTGAACTCTGGTGGTAGCATGTGCAAATTGGACTAGGGAAAGAATAAACAAGAGCCAAGGAAATAATGAGGATACCATTTTATTAGCCTAGAACAAGAAAAACTTAAAGATAGAGAAACGATCTCCTCAATGCGAGTTCAGTAGAGGTGTAAACATTACCAACACTATTACTGTAGAGTTTTCTAGCCTTGGCTATGCTTGATTGGTTAACAGAATGAGAGTGACTTTATCATGAAAAGCAAGCAGATGAGGAAAATCGGAAATGATGGTAAATTTGCGTTTGGTGCCTTCTTCATATCTAGGTGGACTTTTTGCATAGGTAGACAACAAAGAGTATGAGAGGAATGGAACTGAAAGTAGATCCCAAAGAAATGGTGGTTAAAATTATCACTGCTATTCTTATTCTTATTACTATTATTATTATGGTTTCTTAGGACAAGGTCTCAGTATGCAGTTTGGGTTGACCTTGAACTCAGTATAGAGCCCAGCCTGTCTTCAAAACTTACAACAATCCTCCTAGCTGGGCCTCCCCAGTGCTAGGACTACAGGAGTGCATCTCTATGACTAATGGTTAATGCTTTAAACAAGCAAAAATTTGGATAGACTCTAATTTTTAAGCTATTGTATATTAAAAAGAGGTGTTACATAAGGACTCTGAGAATATACAAATGTAATTTGCAGGTGAAAAGATATATTTCTTGTCCTCAGATAAGAGTGCGGTCAAGTTGTAAGTAAAATGTATAGGTATAAAATAGAAAAGTACACTTCCCTCTCCTGCTTTTTTGCACCCTTGACATTTGTCTCTGAATCAAAGAGGAGAAGGAAATCAACTTGGTCTCTACCGAGTCAGAAATGCATCAGATAACTTCAGTTTAGTCATTCAGAGCCACCCTCAACATCCTCTGCTCTTTGCTTATTGAAGATGGTCAAGCTGGATTGTATCTGTAGGCTTCCTTACCTCTGTTCTCTCATCAGGTTTGCCCAATGAACTCTGACAAGAGATCACATGATGATAGGAAAGTGTCACATGGTGTTTTTCTTCCACTTCCCCCCGTGGTTTGTCACTATGTTGGTCCTCTTTCTGTCTCTGTCTCTGTCTCTGTCTCTCTGTCTCTACCTCTGTCTCTCCCTCCATCTCTCCCTCTGCCCCCTTTCCTAGAACAGGATGCAATGGAATTTTGGCTAGATTTAGCTTGAAGTAGTGGTGTAATCATCAATTTTCTGTATAGTTGAAGGAGGAGTACTTTGTAGTATCTGGACTTCTTGTTTCTACTTTTCTTCCACATCATTCTTTTTCTTGTTTTGTGGTATTGGTGACTAAACTCAAAGATTTCACAATGAGTTACATCCCTAGTTCTTTTCATTTTTTATTTTGACACAAATTCCTGCTATGTCACCAAGTTGCCCAAGAGGTACTCAAACTTGTGATCCTCCTGTCTCAGCTGCCCAGAGTGCTTCTTAAAAGTGTGCATTACTAGCCTGACTCTGGGATTCATATTTCTAATTACCTAGGTTTTCTTCTAGAGCTCTTCTACTTACACGTATGAGCTGGTGCTTTGCTAAATCTGTGGAAGAGTAGAACCAGGTTCTCCTGGTAGCTTTTAAAAATACAAAATCATTGATTCTAACTCTACTGAATTGAATTCTACATTTTCAAAAGATGAACCTATAAACAGATATTCCCATAGGAATGTGGGAAATCTGAGTTGGTTTTCAATATAAGTAGAATGTGAACACTGAGGTCAGACTGACCTGATCTTGAGGTTTGACTCTAATCCGTACCAGCTCTATGAAATTTTGATGTTACTGTACTATGTCTTTCTGACTCTCAAGACTTTAACATGAAAATTATAATAATCCCAAGGTCATTGTGAAGCGTCAGTAAAGAAATCTAACACTGTATTGGTGTGCAGTACTTACTCATTAAACAAATATCTCTATTGAAGCAAGTAAGAAGGATGCCCTAGCCTGGGATTGTCTCTGTAGCTGGATCACCCACGCAAGCAAATCAAAACACAATTCAATCTGAACAGTACAATGAAGCTTAAGCTTAACCAATCAGAAACTGCCAACTAACTTTTAATTAGAGACTCTCCCATAGATCATATCCAAATGAAGCCAACGCCCACTTGGACTCAATCAGGTCATTTCTCTATTTTGTTTTGTTTTGCTGTAAAAGCTTACTGCTTATGCTCCAGAGCTTTCAGGAACCTGGTTTTCAGTGCTGCTTGATACATGGGTCATTCTTTGCTCAAATAAACTCTTAAATATCTGTCTAATTTTTTTTCTTTTAAAGTGACCAGAAGCTCACTTGTCAGTAAGACATATGTGGTCTCAGGCATCCTACAACTTGAGTTGTCTTTTAGTCTTGTAGACCAAGATTACACTTGTTCCAGACCATGGAAGCATAGTGGAGTATGTAAGATATTGATCTTCAAGGTGAGAACAGATGGATCGCAGGCCTCCTTTGCAAGGCACCCAAAAGGGGTAGGGGCCATTGCTCAGAAGCAGAGTGCTTCTCTAACAT